TTCATAATATGGAGTAAAAGGATTCCAAAATTATGGATTTGTAAAAGACACCAAGCTTCGAGTAAATATTAGGCATGACGCTATTTGCTGTAGTAGAGGTTACATTATTGAATTGGATTCAGAAATAAATGTCTATCTAATCTTATTTGAGATCTTCTATTGGCAGTGTCACCATTGCATTCAATATATATATATATATATTTACTTCTAAGTTGTATCCATATGAAGCAGGCCTTATTTCATTTTTCCGACTCAACTCTGCACCGAAAGTGTAGTGTTTTTCTGCTATCTATACAATTAAAATCAATTATGCTGTGTGTTTGGTTGGGTGATTTGGGAAGGAAAATGAAAAAGTTGTGTGAAATTAGGTAAATATAAGTATATTTTATTCACATTTTACCTACATACTTTTTCTATTTTTCTTTCAAAATTCCTTCTCAAATCTCCAACCAAACACAACCATACACAGCAAATCTCCAACCAAACACAACCAAACACAGCATTAAAGCTTCTCTTCTTTCTCGAGAACCGATCGATATTAAAACTAGAAACTCTCAACCGAAACTTATTAAAAAAAAAAAACCGAGAAATTCATGTAAATCAAAGTTGAAAAGTAGTAAAATTATGCACAAGTGAGAAAGGAGAAGAAAGAAGAGCGATGATGAATTGAGGAAACGTAGAGAGGACAGAATCGAATCAAAAGAGTACGGACTTACGAATACCTGTATCTGTATCGATAATGATCTTCTCCTCCTCGCCAAGTTTACTGGAACTCATTTCTTTTCTTTTGTAGGCCCCCGGCCACCACAAACATTATTCTCTCTGTCTCTCTCTTTCACCTCGGAAATGACTATGTATTTGTACTTCCACTAGCAGAGTGGTCAACAAATGAGTAATAATTAAAACCCACGCCCACTCTAATTACATGTTATAAATTCGAATTATTTATGATGTGAATTTTAAATATATATATATATATATATATATAAATGGATCTTATATATATAATATTTGGGCAAATTATAAACACCTTCTCGAAATTTAGTAAAAATATAAGTTCTCTCTTGAAATTTAAGAAATTACATTCCGTTTCCTGAAATTTATATTTTCATAATAAATTGTTTCTTGAAATTTTTATTTTCATACAGATTCTTCCTTAATTTCTCTTAATTTGTTATGAAAATTTGACCCTCAGAAAGCAATTTATAATTTCTCAAATCTCAAAAAAAAATCTGTATTTTTATCAAATCTTAAGAGGATGTTTATAATTTACCTTATATATTTATATATAAATGATCAAAATCACTTTAAAGTTGTGAAAATCATTTCAAAAAAAGTCCCAATCATTTTTCGTAACAAATTACGACCCTGTTTGATGCGTAAAATTATATGGTAGTTTTGGCACAATTCACATGTACTTCCTCGACTAAAAATTACATAGATTATTTTTTTTAATTAATAGTTAGATTTCTCCTTTTATTAGAATTACGTTACAAAAGTAATTAAAAAGAAATCAACAACAATAAACACATAGGTTGTATTTAGTAGAACTTTCTAATTATGGTTTGAAAGTATGAGTTGTATTTTGAGTTTGTGAGTTTTTGATTTATGATTTGAATGTTTTGTTTGATGAAAGAGTTTTGAATTGAGTGGGAAATTTTTGATGTGATATATAATATTTGATACAAAAACTTATAACTCATAACCAAACATATAACTCAAAATTCTATTAAAACACATAAATTTTTTTTTAAAATTTGAAAAATATTTTTTTCGAATATATAAAAAATTAACATATGTCAATTGTAAAAAAAAAAAAAAATTTGCACTGTTCCGATCAACCGGTGGGACGATCGGTTAGTTCAAATTTTCTCGCTTTTAACAAAGTTTTCAAAATTGAGTGTGGAATTACATTTTGAAAATTCTAAACAAATGCCATGAACAAAACATGGGGTGAAAATATATTTAGAGAGGCTAAACACAGCCATAAATACTTAAAATACCTTTCACATTCCTTATAAAACAATACACCCATGTAACTATTTTCCTCTAATTTTTCAATATATATGAACTTTCCTTCTAAACAACATGACAATTATGAGTATTTTTTTACACCAAATTAATTTTTTATATACGTATATGTTTTGAATTGTCTTGTACCAGGAATGTTGGTTATTTAAAAATTAATTTTGCATCTAAAAAACGAAAAAAATCATGTAAAAATGATGAGCATTTTTTTTATTTTTAATTTTGTACACCAAATTAATTTTTATTTTTTCATAATTAAAAAAAAAATTAATTATAAAAATTAAACCAACCAAAAAGTGTTACGATTGACTTTCCCTATATAGTGTGTATATATGTTTTGAATTGCTTTATATTGGAAAGGTTGGTTATGACAATATAATACGTTGATCTTTAAATAATAATAAAAAAACCAAAAAGAGATATAAAAATAAGAATTCTAATAGGAAACAAAAAGAGAAATAAAAATAAAAATTCTAAGTTTCAATTTTTTACAAATTGATTTTTTTATTTTTCGTATTTTTTGTTTTTAATGAAAATTTTTAAAATTTTAAATTTTTTTTTTATATTTTTTTAGATGTACCTTACTTAGATATATATAAAAAGTAAAATATTTTAAAAAAATAAATAAATACATAAGAATACGAAAACGTACTGAATGTTCGTATTTTTTTTGTTTTTTGGTATTTCGTGAAGTTTTAAAGTTTTTTTTCACAAATATTATATTTTTAAGTGTATTTATGTTAGGTGTATCTAAAAATTAAAAAAATTACTTAAAATAATAAAAAAAATACGAAAAACAAAAAATTTTAATTTTCTGAAAAGTGAAACCAAACAAGTTATAATTTAAAAGTTTAATTATGCTGACTATATTCCTAAATTCTTTGAGATTTTTTTATTTATTTATTTTTTTTCAATAGCCTTGCATGGTGGGATATAGAAGTTTAGTTATGCTAATTTTAAATTTAGGAAAAAATTTATTTCAAAAATGGTTTTGAAAAATAATAATAATAAATGGTAAATTTTATAATATTACTAATTAAAAATATAAACTTGTTAAAATTTAAATGTAAACTCACTCGGAGATAGAAATTGACAATAACCTTGGATAGTAGTAGGTCACTAATTTATCTTTTTATAGGATTTGGTGGGTTAGATGAGGCAATGTTAGAGTAATTTGGTTAATAGGAGAGAAAGATTGAATGTGGGTATTTTAGTGATTGAATGTTATTTTTGACATCATTTGGAATAAAGTTAACAAAAGGAGGAATTTGGCTATTATTTTCAAAAGTAAGAGAGATCTGTGTAATTTTTAAAATTACAAGGGAGATATCTGTAATTAAGATAAACTTCAGGGGATGTAAGTGTAATTTACCCTTATTTAATTAGTTGAACTAGGAATTTGTCATTTCATATTAGTTTTTAGAGCATCAATAATGGTAAATGTTATAATAATATTATTATTGTTATAATTTGAAAATGAATAATAGAAAATGATAAAATTATAACAATAGTGCTCCAAAGGTCAAATGTTATTTTGCAGAATCAAACTAGTCGTCTTGAACACACCAATTTCTATGTTTGGTTATGCAAAAATGATGATTTTGTAAAAATTTATTTGTTTTGCTGGGAATGAGGTTTTACTTGAGTTCGCACATATGACAGCTGTCATATGACACCATTAGAGCACCATTTTCTTCTTTAACTGCCAAATTATAATAATAGTAGCTCCAATGGTAAACCATTGGAGATGCTCTTAGGAGTCTTTTGATAATTAATTATTTAGTTGATCTTTTGATTTTTTATAAAAAAATGCAAAAAAAATAAATAAAGAAAGAAAATAATTGACTTTTTAATTATTTTAGGAGGATTCCAAACTTGATCTAAATGCGAGGAGTTAAAACAAGACAGTTAGTTTAGTGATTCGTGCAATTATTTCTTGAAATAATAAGAAAGTTATAAGTTCAAATTCGTGTCAATAGAGTAATTACGATGTTTTCATTATAATTTAACATAGAGTAAGGTTAGAGATCTCAAATATTCTACTAAAAATTTTACTAAATGTGGGTGTGGGACCCACACAATGTGGGTTCCATGTGGGTCCCACACCCATGTGAGACATTTGGTAAAACTTTTGATAGAATTTTTGGGATCTCTAACATTTTTGTTTAACATATTATCCCCTTGGAGGGTATTTGAAAAATGATTATTTTAACTATTTATAAAAAAGCGTATAAAAAAATAAAAAATATATTATGATTGATTATTTAGATTTTTTAAATTATTTTAACTAAAAAATCAGCACCCAAACGGGACAGGAACATATTGTTTGTTAAAAAAAAAATTTTTTGAATGGTGAGCACTTTTTGAAACCATTAAATAGTTATAATTTTTTATATTTTGAAAAACAGTTTCATGCAATATCTGTTTCTAATTTATCAGACAAAATAGTTTAAATAAATTAAAAAAAGCTATTTGCATGAAAATACAAATGCTATATTTTTTAATTATTTTTTATTTAATTCTCATCATACTTATCTAGTTGGAAAAGATGACACGAATTTGCTGTTTGTGGACCAGTGACCAATAAGGATTAGACAAATGGCATTTTTAGTCCAAGTAGATCTTCAAGTCCTACTTACTTACGCTTGAGGCTTGGTTTTTTTTTTTTTTTTTTTGTATAAATTTTACACTTGAGGCTTGTTCTTGATTTTTGGTTAATAATATTGTGAAATTGAGTAATAAAATTAGTGTAATAGTATTAAGTTTAAAATATAAGATAAATTATGTTGTTAGTACTAGTTAGTTGGAATTAAAAATATAAATTCATACGAAAGACCTCAATATATTTTAATTTGATAAAAGAAAATAAATAATAAGTAAAAATGGGAAAAAGTTAAATGAAAGAAAAGAAAATCATTTTCTTGCATAAATTTGATTAAGATAAAAATTTTATAAAAGAAAAAGAATAGATAGATAGTCGAAAGGAAAAGCTCCATTGAAGGAATTATAATTAAGATAAATTACATTTTATCCCCTTCAACTACCGTCCGTATCACTTTACCCCCTTAACTAAAAACTTGGACAATTGTTTCTCAACTACAATCGAGGCAGATATGACTGGCCCATTCATATGCGGTAAAAATTAAGCAACACTAACCTAGATGAATATTTCAAAGGTTGTAGCAACTTACAGAACCATAAAATGAGGAACTGAGAACCTAACATGCTACATGCAAATAATCACAATATCAAAATATTTTCCCTATGCAGAGAGATGGACATCTAAACAAGAAAAAACAAAAAACAAAAATACAAAGTTCTAACTACTGGATGAAAACAAGCGTACTTCGTTACGAATAAACTTAATTTAATAACTCACTCAAGCAGCTTCACGTATCTTGGAGTTTGGGGAACCCAAAACATTCACAGGTGCCTTTGATAGATGACCCTTCGTATTTCCAGCGGCTTGCCCAGCAGAGCTCCTAGTATTTGCCGTGTCAGCAGAGGTACTAGACCTTTTTATCTGCCCAAATGAAAAAAGGCCACAAATTATAAAACAATTTCAATCCTAAACTGACCCCCTTTGAAGGTAAAAAAAACATGACCACCTCAACCAGTGACCTAAGCATTCATCCTGTACCACACCTAAAATTCAATAATTTATGGACACATTTTTCATATCCACATAACAAAAAAGGATATATAAAATCCAAAACATACCAGTGCAAGTCGTTCTTTGTGAATATCACTTGAAAACTGCAGAATCATACAACAAATGTTTCAGAAGAATCAAAAGGCCTGAAAAAGAAACTATATCCCGCAGCACCATCATTAAAAATAACTACATGCATATGAAAAATAGACAGTCCAGTAAGGTTCTTACTGGTTTTCGGTAAATCTTAATCTCATCACCACTAAACCCAGGAAGAGTCATATTCCAGTTTCTCTCTAAAACAAAGCACAATTTGAACATTAAGCACCACATAGTTCATTAGGACAATAAAACAAACCATGAAGATTTATTCCTGCATGACTAACCAAGATGTAGAAGAATGTCCTTCGCTTCCAAGGTAGTTGATTTTCGATGCTTGGCCAATGAGCAACCAAAGGTTGTAATCTGCCCAAAAATAAAATATGAAAATTATACTGTCTTGAAAATAATAGAAAAGAAACATAAAGAAATACTGCAAATTTTGACAAATACGGACAAAAAAATGTTAAGACAATTGCTCAGTTTGGCTACACAACCCCGTTTTCCACCAAACTAGACTCATTATTCCAAGCACTATTATTCAGCCAGACAAAATCTAAGTGATGACAGTTATCATCGATTTCTTCTCGTCTTCTTTCATATTAAGTTGAAATAGTAACCTTTAGATCACACGTTAATTGCCACCATCAATCTGTTACAACATCCAGCTTGTGTCAATGAATGATATTGATACATGACCAAAATCTGCTCCCATAAATGACCTAAAAAGTTCAACACCTTCTCTTTATCCTAAACAATAATGGCAGTGCGGTGTTGATGGGTGTGGAGGAGGTATGTGGGTGATAGTCTTGTGGAAGAGGAGGGGATATGGCAGGAGGTGATGGTGGTGGTGGTGAGAGAGAGAGAGAGAGAGAGAGAGGGTTTGGTTATAAGAAAGAAAATACAGGATTTTATTGTATATTATACAAGTGTGAGTGTAAAAAGGCAAAGACAAGTTCCATTAATGGCCATAACCAACAACTCTGACAACGTGTGCCCTAGCAATTGTCAGAAACATCAGGGAGTGTCAGTGTAATTACCCTTTATTATCTTCTAAGTTAGCTACTGGCTATCAGATTTTATGATTTTGTTAGTCAATGTTGGATTTAAAACGGATGACAAAATTATAGCCTATCTTTATATTACCATGGTCCATGGATAACAACATTTTTTAGGTTGAAAACCAACCACAACTAAAGAAATTTATCTAAATAACTTCTTTATCTATGCAAGAAGTTTCAGGCCTGGGAGGAAGCAAATATGAGCATGCTAGATCACTTCATTTGAGTACGCCATGTGGTATAAAATTCTTCAAAGATATAACACCGAGAAGAGTGCTTCCTCCGATTCCTTGATAGCAAAAAACCAATAAATAATTTGTATGCATAAATTGATGTCTTTCACATTGAGCAATTGATATCAGATTAATAAAAGGTTCTCAGTATTAAACATTTTATTAAGGAATCTCATATAGTAGAGGCCAGGTCGGACCACGTCCAAGGTCGTTAGAAAGTTTCAAATTCTATGGCTAAAATGAACTGTTCTAAAAATAATAATAATAATAAAAATAAAAATAAAAACTGAGAAAATACATAACTAAGCCAACTTAAGAAACAATCAAAGTTCATATTCATAAAATGCAAACGAGGGCTGCCATTTAATCACTTAATGCATTTCACCATTTTTTTCACCTATGTGGATCCACACAACAAACACCATGTGTACATGTATAATCCACCATATTCAAAAAATAATTGGTGTCCCATTATTTCCTAGATATGATGGGTTACATGTACAAATATTGTTTTATGTAGAAAATGGTAAAACTTCATCCAATGACATATAATTTTCTAATGCAAAAGTATGAGGGAAAAAATCCTTATGATTATAGAAATTCATCAACTTACAGACTCGACAAATTCATCAGCAATATCCACAAGAATATCTTCTACTTCAGGATCCAAACTTTCTGATGGATCAATCTGTCCAAAAACCAAAGAAGTCAAAAAGAAAGGACAATTCATCAACTTCACGAAAAACATTACATAACGAAGAAGACATGATTGTCAAAGAATTCCGGCAATGGCTCAAGAATGGGCCTTCCTTGGAAGGTATGAATCACATATAACATCCATATGATAAAAAAAATTTCTTTTTCTTTCCCCTGAAAAACCATATGACATACATATATTAATTTAAGGTCCATAAACCATTACGTTTATCACATCAAAACAGTGCCCATGAAACATGTTAAAAAATATCCTAAGAAACTGACTAAAAGATTGTAAATTTACCACCAATTGAACTAAAAAGCCTAAGAAACCTTGTAACTTATCATAACATTTCTGCAACCATAAGACATATTCCTAAAGAGAAAAATTAAAAACTAGTCTAGTGTAATCATACATCTCTTGATTTACATAATCATTTTATCATCTCTTAACCATAACTATTCAGTGAGATAACATTCAAATCTTAATGCCACCTCCATAAAGAGAGTTTTCCAAAGGAGCTCTTGTTCATTTTAATCCTTAAGCAGAACTCCAATATCTAATTCCTTTCAATGGTTTGATAGCATTTGTTGAAAAAAAAAGGGTAAGCACAAAGAAAGTTAGAACTACAGCCACTCTACTACATCTGTGGTATCAGGTGTCTGTCCCTGCTTCCCATTATTCTATCAAGGGTCACGGTATTGGCTAATCATATAGCATAGGCCTTTCCAAGCTTCAACACATCCTCTAGTCTCGATCAATGTTATCCAATCTCATCCCCAATGTTGCAATCTCAGAGTTCTCACTAACGTTTTGTCTAATTATTTTGTTTCTTCTCTTGCCCAGTCTTCACGTCAACAAGCCATCAACCACATTCAGCTAAGAGACATGTTTCCTAGTTACCAGCATATTGTCCACAAAGCATGACTTATCTTCACTGGTATTATCAACCAACAGCATTCTAAAGCACGCCACTTCTCACCCATCCTACTTTAATTATTTACGCAACATTTACAGCAAATCAAAATTACTCCTAACAGAATAAGTAACTAGTTAGAAAAATATAAACAGATGACCAAATATGCTCACCTGGGATACCATTTCTTGGATGCTCCTTTTGTTTATTATCCTGTTACAAGATTCACCAGTCTCTGCACTCGTTGTTATTCTATTAGGAGGCCCCGACTGGACTGCGCTGGATTGTCCCACTGTATGTAAGGAAGGTTTCTGGTTTCCCAATCCTGGACCCCTTGGAATCTGTTGTTGATGGGATACGGATTGTGCGACTCTTGAAGGTGGAAATTGTTGCCCATAATGCTCCTGGGCTGGATGTAATGATGAAGGTTGTTGCTGTTGTTGGGAGGATGATGCTTGTGGTTGCTGTGAAGCTGTTGACGTTGGATGATGATGTTGCTGAGGAATATGTGATCTTTGCTGCAAAGATAGTGGATTCATTTGCGGTCTAAATGGTGGGGATGGCAAAGGAGGCTTTCCTTGTGATCCAGATGACAACCAAGGCTGATTATGAGACTGCAAACCTTGTGATGTACTAGGTGACGGTGAACTTGGAGATCCAACTGATGAAACTCTTAACATGCTATGCCCTGGGAGATTCTGTATAAAGGTGGGGAATAGACAAATACAATTTGCATAGAACAGTCAGATTAGTAATAGAAACTTGAAACCATTATTATGGAACATAGAGATCATCCAATAGCTTCAAAGACGAATATAAATTTTTCTTCTTTTTTTTCTTGATAAATTCTGAGACAAATATAAATTTAAAACTAACATACATCACAGTTATCTACAAATGTGTCTCAACATTAATGTAGGATGTGCAAAAAATATTGAAGTCTTAAGGAGTTAGCTATAGAATATAAGAAATGCAGGATGACTGCTTCAAACACTATTTTCTACTAAATATTTTTATTGGAGAAGAAGGAGTAGAAAAATAGAACCAAGGTATCAGTACTCAAAGATTCTTCAAAAGAACCACAAACTTATACAAGCTGTCATAACCAAACCAACAAAGCCTAAATTTACCCCCTACATGAAAATAACACTCAAGTTGTTCATAAATTCCAAATATTTGATGCCACACTGCCCACATATAGTTCACGATTTACACAATACACCTTATTAAACAAGTATAACTTACAAATCGCCATACCTAAGCAAACATCATTCCACTCAACTAAATAATATTTAAACTCCTCCCCAAGACCTCTCCACTGAACATTACTTGGCATCTTCTCCTACCTCCTGGCCACAAAAATGGGGATAGTAAACATAGAAAGAAAATTGAAGGCAAACTGGATAAAGTACTCTTCATCAAAGTGAGTCTAACCCACTTAGACAAATACTACTTCTTCCCAAGTAACGAACTTCTTCTCAAAGCCTCTCCACCATCACATTCCAAACTATTTGTAGTTAAAAGAAGAGCACAAGGAGAGCCCTAAATCTGGTGCTAGTAAAGATGAAACCTTTTACCCCAAATTTTCTACCATTTTCTACACAATCATTGCCCCCCCTATAGTGATCATCTCACTTCTCAAAAGGTTAATCTTCAAGCTAGAAACAACCTCAAAACAAAGCAACACACAACTAAGGATTATGATCTCTTCTTCAATTGCCCCACAGCACACTATCATATCATCCACAAAAGCAAGTGAACAACTGACATCAACTCACCGCTCCTATTCCCAACCTGAAAGCTAGTCAACAACGTATCCAGTGCTTAAATCTTAAATTCATTAGTACAAATTTCATCTAGGTAGGTAATGACATTGACTATAACAATTCATCCTAAATTTTCATAAACCTAAAATATTTTCAAAATCATTGATTATTATCTTCAAATTTTGACATAGCTACATATTTTCCTTTAGGATCTTGAAAATGGATGTGACTTGGAACAGTACCTGTCCTCCAACAAATATTCAAAATTTCTCATGAAAATTTTTCCAACCATATTTGTTGGCCTACGTTATACACATCCCATCAAATTACAAAATAATTCATAGCAATATGTTATCATCATTGAGACTTCTAGGATTTAGTACAAGACATAAACAATGAAGAACTTAAATTTCAAAACTCAACACTAACTTGGGAAGTAGAGGACTGGTTATTTGGGGTAGTTTGTGGTCTAGCAGATGATTGGACAGGTCTCTGTTGATGATGTATAGCAATTCCACCAGGCCGCATTTGTGGGCCTGAGCCGAATGATCCCATCGTGCTCATTCCCTGTATTCCTTGTATAGGCTGTCTCATCTATACATTTCAAACAACAATGGGACAACAAAGAATCAAACAAACAAAACTTATATTAACCCTGCTCAATGTACACTTTGAAAACTATAACTAGCAACAAACAAATGTATGCATATGTGAGTTCCTCTGTCTGTGTAGTTCTGTATCTAACATACATCTATTCTATCCATCTATCTATTCTACTATACAAGGTGTGACACCCGAGTTGGTGCGAACTGTCACAGTTTTTCCTTTTTCAAAAATGCCCTTTTCAGTAACTGTCCCATCTAATAACTCCAATAACTGCTGAATGGTTTTTCTGATTCTTCAAAACACCCAAAACTGGAAATGGGTTTTCTTCATTCGTCAAATTATTCAAAAATTAAATATAAAATTGAAAGTGCATACACAATAAGAAACTCCAATTCAACCAAAATATATCAACCTCAACTCATCATCATGAACATGCTATACATAAATCAAAACCTACCCATATAAGGAAATCTAGTCCAATAAACAAAAATAAAATAAGATAAACACCTGTGATGTGCTCGAGCTAGAGACAGATTCAGGAACATTGACGGAATTACGAGGCAACCCACCAAACTGCTGGCCAAAAGAGGGCGGGTTGAGAGAGGAAAACGAGGAGGGAGGAGGGGGAGAAGGGGTCGGGTGGTGAGCAGGAACTCCAATGGCCATTCCACCCCTGGGAGCAGACGAAGAAAAGGGAGGCACGGGCGGGGTTGAAGACGAAGAAGAATGGGGAGGCTGCATTGAGGAACACTACTAGGGTTAGGGTTTGGGGAAGATGGGATTGGGCGATCTGATGAATCAAAAAACCATTCAGCGGTTATTGGAGCTTTTTGGGTGAATACTGTCATTGGAATTAATCACTAATAAAAACACTATTTTCTACTAAATATTTTTATTTAATAATAATAATTATTATTATGCTTTTTTGTACTTGATTGTGCTCTTAAAACTAAATTGTTAATATATATATATATATTGTAAAACATATTAACAAAAGGAGTATTTGGGGTTATTTGGAGTGCCCTAAATAAGTGTATTTTTTATTTTTTTAAACTAAAAAGTCTGGCAGAGTCTATAGCAAGCTCTGGGAACTGAGCTGAGATTAAGTAGTGCTTATCATCCACAGACAAATGGTCAATCTGAACGGACCATTCAAACGTTGGAAGACTTATTACGGATGTGTGCTCTAGACTTTCAAGGCAGTTGGGAAACCTACTTACTGTTGGCCGAGTTTGTGTATAATAACAACTATCATTCAAGTATTGGTATGGCTCCTTATGAAGCTTTGTATGGTAAAAAAGCTGATCTCTGATCTATTGGACTGAGGTAGGTGATAGACCGTTGTTAGGATCAGAACTTGTGCAAGAAACGACTGAAAATGTGAAATTAATTTAGCAAAGACTAAAAACTGCACAAAGCCGCTAGAAGAGCTATGCCGATGTTCGAAGAAGAGACAGGGAATATGAAGTCGAGGACCATGTATTTATCAAGGTGACTCCAATGAAAGGGCAAATGCGATTTGGGGTGAAAGGCAAGTTGGCACCAAGATATGTTGGGCCATATGAAATTCTCGAGAAGATCAATTCAGTAACTTACCGAGTGGCCTTACCTCCTGTAATAGAGTATATGCACAACGTTTTTTATGTTTCAATGCTTCGAGATTACTTATGAGATCCGCTCCATGTGATAGAACCGACTTATGTGCTTCTGAAGAATAACTATACGTACGAGGAGAGGCCAATGCAAATTATAAACCGCAGAATCAAAAGATTGATAAACAAGGAAATTCCGTTAGTGAAGGTTGATTGGCAGAATCATGGAGGAACTTATGCAACTTGGGAGACAAAAGAAGACACGATGAGAAGATACCCTGAATTGTTTCCTTTGAATTCGATGTTCTTCCAGAATAAAGGTAACTCGAGTTTGGAGGACCAAACTCTTTAAGGGGGAAGACTGTAATAACCCCGACTCATGATTAACAGTAATCCATGCTTAATTATACCTAATAAGAAATTAACATGAAAATTTGCACCATGTGTTACTCTATTTGTGTTTATATCTGTTTGACGTAGAAATATATGTTCATGTTTTTATTCGGGTTGCGAATTGAAGGCCTTATTGGCATCCGATTCAAAAGTTGACTTGATTTGCGTGTTATTTAGAATTTTTAAAATTTTATGGTAGGTCCAATTAAAATTCGGTTCAGAACGATTAAATTAGATTAATTTAATGGCTCATTTGATTAGTCTTAATTATCTATCATTAGACAAGCCTATATAAGGCTACTTATGTACTCCTACTCACTTTTTTCCCTCATGTCAACACATTTTGAGCTCACACACACACAACCAACGTGAGAGAGGGAGAAAGAAGAGAAGTTGAGCTCAAATTATAGAGATTACTAGAGAACTTGTGAATTTGGACTTTAGAACTCAAGGACCAAACTTCTAGCTCTTATCTTGACAAGTTTAGGTAAGAATCCAACCCTTTATTTGAAGAACTATGAAGTGTAAGACATGAACTCTAGAGAATGGAATTGATTAATGTAAGAATTGGGTTAGAAATGAAGAGTATGGAGCCATACCATGCATGCATGCATATTTTTTCACATTTTGAGTTTAATTTCCACGAATTCCCTCATGCATGTCTTGAATTCACCTTAATTTTGAAAAATCATCAAGTTTCATGTTGTTTTGTAGTATTTGATCATGTTTTGAGAAGCTTAAGTTCAAACAAATTCATGCATATCATGTTCATGGAACATTCATAAATTTTAAGTTGAATGTTTACGCAATTGGCAAGCTATTAGGCCATGATTTCTTGAAATGATCCTTAATTCATGATGTTTTATGAATTTCTCAATGTTTCCTCAAGTTTTGGCCCAGAAAAATCGAGCTTGATGTTTTAAGATTGAGTTTTGAAGCTTGGAAGCAATTATGGAAATTCCAGAATTCTGCTTCCATGCTCAAGCGATGGATTCCACGCTTGAGCGACTACTCTGTGTCTCACACTTCCGCTCGAACGACCAAGGGCTGGCTCGAGCGTGAAATGCATGCTCCCAGAAGTTCTTACGTTTTACAGCACGCTCGAGCGACAAAAGTTGCGCTCGAGCGAGGGCATGTCTCTCACATTCGAGCGAGCATCGAGCGGAAAAATCAAGCAACCAGTACTTTTTCGAAAGTTTGTAGACCGCTCTAGCAAAAGAAGTTGCGCTCGAGCGGACCCTCACATTTTGCATGTCTGCTCGAGCGAGGAAAGCCACGCTCGAGCGTAGACCTTGTTTTCAGCAAGTTTTGAAAATGTTTTCAAGTACATTTTTGCATTCTGATTCCATCCTAGGCATTCCTAAGCCAAGATTAAGACACTATGATGAGGATAAAGGCTAAAAACACGCTAAGAACAAATGAAATACGTTGTGTACAAACCGAGCGTATGTTCCAATGTATGTATCTATCATGTTATGTAGGCCACGCGCCTCAAGTTAAGTAAATCGCCTACTCTACTCATCTATCTGGAGCCACCGGTTATCTATGAGTGATGACTTAGTAAAGCTATGTTCAAGTTAAATTATTTTCTGTATATGAAATAAGATCTATTTTATGAAATGTTATGTTCACACTATGAATGATTGTCTACTTTTAGCAAACATTTATGGCATTAATGTTAAGATTCAAGTATGCTATCTGTACCCAGACTGGAAGTTCCTTAATGGAATTGGCAAGTTATCTATACTCGGCTAGAGGTTCCTTTATGGAACTGACAAGTTATCCGTGCCCAGTCTGGAAGTTCCTTTATGAAATTGGCAACTTATCCGTACCTGGCCAGAGGTTCCTCTATAGAACTGACAATTATGATTTATGATGTTCTGTATATGATCTGTTAGCGCTAACGGATGAATTATGAATGATCAAACATGATTTCTGAATTTTGTATACGCATTGAATGAGAACACGAATATAAATTGGTTCTATGTATGAATTTAATTATGAGACGTCATTCATTTAACCATTTACTCTGTTATTATTCACTAGACTCACGCTCACTATTTATATTATGTATGTAGGTGATCAAGTACATGACCAGGCTCAGAGTTGAGGACCTAGCGTCTCCGTTTTTGTCAGCCAACGTTTACGCCTCCTGAGGAGGTTCCGGATTAAGTCAAGTCTAGTGGCTGTGTTGTTATGATTGTATAAGATTTTGTTTTTTTTGCTCCCTAAACAAGTTTCTCTGTTTTTAAGTATATGAAGTGACGTGTAAATACTGTATCTTTTGACGTTACTCGTATGTTTATAAAATTTTAAGATTATTTGTCCCATATATGTCTTCACAGCTCGATGGACTATGTATATTTTATGTATTTACTTTCACAGCCCCTAATTATACATTACTATGTTATGAGGCCTTTGGTAATCCAAGGATTACTGGCCGGTTACAATGCTAAACCTATAAGGATGGGTTTGGGTCGTGACAGTAGCCCTTCGCAAATCTCATAGAAATGGCCCAGTTCACACTGATATAGGTGATTCTTATGAATAGTATCTTGTCATACTCCACCAGGTATTCCTAGATATAAGAATCATTAACAGTATTACTTAACCTAAAACGTTACAGACATCACTATTTTATCATAGAAATGGGTAAGAGTTTGACTCCCCAGTGATCCTTATGAGTCATCCACAACTCGGTTGTCCCTTTGAACCTAGATCTTGGGATCTCCAGTCAACTAGGTTGGGTTACCGTTGTGGTAACTCTTATTTAATAGGCTTGAGTCCCATTTCTCTCGATGAATTCTCAACTAACTCACTTGCTAACCCTTTGGTTAGTAGATCCACTATATTGTCTTTAGACTTCACATATTTAATGGAAATAATTTCATTAGAGAGTAGTTGTCTTACGGTGTTATGTTGACGACAAATGTGTCGCGACTTACCGTTATACATATGACTCTATACTCTACCTATTGCTAATTGACTATCACAATGTATGCATATAGCAGGCACCGATTTTGGCCACATTGGAATATCTTCAAGGAAGTGACGAAGCCATTCTGCTTCTTCCCTAGCTTTATCTAAAGCTATAAATTTTGATTCCATAGTAGACCTAGCAATGCAAGTTTATTTGGAAGATTTTTAAGATACAGCTGCCCCACCAAGAGTAAAAACATACCTACTGGTGGATTTTGAGTCTCTAGTATTCGATATCCAATTTGCATCACAGTATCCTTCAAGTATTGCTGGATATCTAGTATAATTTAGCCCAATGTTACGAGTAAATCTAAGGTATCTTAAAACCCTTATAATAGCTTTCCAATGTTCTACTCCTGGATTACTCGTATATCGATTTAATTTACTTACGGTATAGGCTATATCTTGGCGAGTGCAGTTTATTAAGTACATTAAGTTTCTAATAATTTGGGCATACTCTAGTTGAGAAATACTTTCCTGTACATTCTTAGAAAGAAACAAATTAACATCCACAGGTTTTCTAGCAAGATGATCACCATCTTTGCTGAATTTGCCAAATATTTTCTCAATGCAATGTGCTTGTAACAAATCATATCCTTTTAATGTTTTAGTAACTTTCATAACAAGAATTACATCAGCAATCCCTATGTTCATGTCAAAATGTTTATTCAATATTTTCTTGTTAGTTTTAATCATGTCATTATTACTACCTCTGATGAGTATATCATCCACATAAAGACATACTATAACATAACCATTGTTTGTGTTTTTAATATAAATACATTTGTCACATTCATTAATTTTAAATCCATTTGACATCATTGCCTTGTCAAATTTCTCATGCCATTGATTTGGCGCTTATTTTAAACCATATAATTATTTAA